GATGCTTCACCTATTTTATTTGTTTTGTGTTACTTTTTGAGTGACAGTTGTGTTATAAGGAAGAGTAGTGTGTTCCTAACCATATATTGAGTTGTTTTACATGTCTCTTAATGTGGCAAAGTGTAGTGGGAACTAATTGCCTGCTGGACTGCAGAGGCACCATAAAAATGTCTTCCCCTTTCTGACTGGTTGCTGCATGTACCCGTTTCTAAGGAAGAAAAAATAAAAAGGTGAAGGAAGAAAGGAGATTTGAAGGTAACACATTTCTTTCAATAAGCTTGTGAAATACAAGTATTGTTTTATAAAGTAAGTCTGTACTTTATGCTTGTCATTATCACCTACATACTTCCTCATGTCTTTTAATCATTAGCTGCAAGTTTGCTATTTCTTTCATGAAACTAAGAAGAAAAAGAAATATGCAAGAAATATGCGAAAATATTAGCAACCTTAAGTCATCCTTTCAGAGTATACCTCAAAATTAAACACACTGTTCTTACTAAAATGACAAGTTACTTACTGAAATGACCTGGTTATCTATAAGTATGGGTCTTCATTAAGAAACTGCCATCCTTAAAAAATATGAAATTTATTTGTAAAACAACAAATAATAAAAGTATCATTAGACTCAAGTTTCCTAGCTGTCTCACCTCCATGCAGAATTCACTCACATGCTCATCTCCTGCTTTGCTCCCAGTACTTATTGTCTCACTATTAATTGTATGGACAGTGTATGTGGCATACATTTAAATTTTCCACAGTAATTTTACTCAGTCCAGCTTGTACTTTATTTTCCATTTCAAAATACTGCACTAGGTAAGTTCAACAGTCAGCAAACAAAACTACAAGCTAACTAAATTATGATCTATCCTGATTGCATTTTGGAACAGTTTTATGGAAGATCATAAACAAGATCGGCAAGCCTCAGAGACAGTATATCAGAACTTCTGGCTTTAACATGTTTCTGCAATGTGTTCCACACTCAAAAGCCAGTATTTTATAGCTCTTTGGGCTTCTGTATTCACAACGAGACAATACAGCTGCTTTTTCAAATTGCTTCTTGGCAGCACACAGAAAATCCATTTATTTTCCCTGACCACCAGGGACCCTTCTCTGTACTCCCAGAGTTATAACATTGCTGCCCAAAACCCTGTTGTCTTCACTTGCTCTGCCTCTGTCTTGCTGTCTCTCTCCTATTTGTTCTTACGTTTCCTTCCCCGCTTTCTTTCACTTCCATCCTTCTCAGTGATATCTAATACACACAGCCTTAGTCCAGTTAGATAAAGAATCATGGTACCGTGGCACACGTTTCCTCTTTTTGAACAAGTGGACCATGCCCTGGGTAATTCCACTCCCCTTTTTCACTGCCAGAGCCTGGGCAGAACTTCTTTCTGGACTTTCTTGTTCAGAAAGGGAGGGAATCCCCAGCAGCTTAATGGAGAACTGGTGTAATGATTTATAGCTTCTCAATAGGACACTTGTTACTCTGTGTGATCTTGTATATGCTGTGTAGTTTTGACCTGTCTTTCCTTTTTTGTGTTGTCCTCCAAATCACCATCATCATTGCCAGAAGATGCTGAGGGTTAGAGTAGGCAGGTTGATCTGATAAGTGATAATGAAAGTGTAGAAGGGCATGAGGATGAAGCCAGCAGAGGTAAATGGAGTAACGCGTTTCGTCCTGCCTGCCGACAGCCTAAGCATGCGCCTAACTGCTCGGTTCTAGACGATGTAAGCTTAAACTGTTGCTTTACCTGGACACAGTAAATGTTTTAGCATATGAAGAGCAACTTCATAAAATTCTGATCACTATCAGGATATGGACTTTGCTTTTCTTCTTAGGCTATTTTCATTTGTTTCTTCTGCACCCTTTTAATGGAATATGTAGGTCTCTTGAAAGGTAAGAAGGAAAATTGCAAGTCTGGCCTGCATTGTATAACAAATTATTTGAAATGCAGCACTTTTATTTTCTTTTTACTAGTTAAAAAACAGTATATTTCATTTAACCAAATTCATTCTTCATTCATGTTCAAGGAGTCAAGGAAATTAAGAAGTTTAACAGACTAACTTCACATTATAAGCTATTTCTTTGAAGAACAAGCAATTTTTTAATGTAACTTTACAACCCACTTTTTAATGCCTGCAGTTACATCTAAATTGCTTCTGAGCCAACAGCACATTGAAAATTCATGCACGATGAAACAAAAAAGAAACCACAAAGCCCCTTCCCTCCACTGAAGATACTCTCTGTTTAAACCATTACTACACCATGTGTTCATGTCAACTGCATCATATTGATTGGGCTCTACAATGTGATGTGGGTTTACTAAAGGGTTACAGGGCTGTGCACTCGCTTTGTTAAACTGCATGCATAGCTGATTTTACCTGAATAAATAGTACATTCGTTAATTTTTTCCTTTTTTTTTTTTTGGCGTTGCATATATGTGCGTGTCTCCAGTGATGCAGAGGACCATAAGCCTCTAAAAAAGGGAAGCCGGACACCTTCAGACAGAACTGTGAAAAAGGAAGACAGTGATGATAGTCTAGTTGACTATGGAGAAGGTGTAAATGGTCAGTTCAATGAGGACGGCTCCTTTATTGGACAATACAGTGGTAAAAAAGAGAAAGAACCTGCAGAAGGAAATGAAAGTTCTGAGGCTCCTTCTCCTGTAAATGCCATGAATTCATTTGTGTAATCAAAGAACTTGATCCCTTGTCACAGTATCTTCAGTTACATTTAAAGCACTTGTACATCCCCTCCGTGTAATATGAACATGCAGGTAACAAAGCTCCTCACCACAAGAGGTTTATGCTGTAATAATATGCAGGCCAATATAATTATACAGTGTAATTACACAGTAAGTGGAATGTTCTTATAAGTCAAAATAAGAAATTCAAATTTGGTCCCAAACCTAAATATTCTCGTGTTTGTTTTTTTCAAGAAAGTGACACAAAAAACAACATTGACTGATAATATTATTTCCTGTTGAAAATACAGTATAATGCATGAAAAAAATGCTACACAGCTCACAGATAATCTTGTGTACACTATAAAAACCTGGTTTGATAATTTGTTATGCGGTCCTCAGCTGAATCCCTGGGTATGAATTCTGTTTTCATTGTCGGAGTGTTATAGTAGTATTACATAGAACTTCAATGTCTTTGTGGACATTGTTGTGAAATTGGTGACTTAATGTCTAGCTATCATATGTCTTTTTGTAAGACAGTTAGGAACAGTATGTACAGTATATAATTGCTAAATGATTTAAGTATGACACTTGCATTTGCTGATGCTTAATGAGACCCTATTATCTGCTCTTTGCTCCTATTACTTTATAGCCTTTTTAATCTATCAAGTGTTACAGCAGTACAGTGTTCTATTTTTACATCAAAATACATTGGATTGATTTTAGGGCATGAAAGACACGCATTACAATGCGTTTTGGAATTTGTACAGTTACTGAAGGAAAAACCTTAAAATGAGAGAAAATATTCCAGGAAACACAGGGCAAAATACATTCAGTGCCTTTTTACAATATGCATTCCATAATGCACTCTACTACTAAACCAGTTGGTGCAGTAAACTGTGATTAGTGGACTACTATCATTGCCAAATAAAGTAAAAACGTAAAAGAAAAGTGTTATGGAACTGTTGTGCTAAAAAAATGAAGGTTTTCAATGTTTTAAATTGCACAAAAAAACAGCATGATATTTTACCCTTGAAAATAAAATATTCACTTTATAGACAGAGCACAACAAGTTTTCATGGCCTTAGAAAATCTGTTTAAAAAAAAGTGAAAATTAAATTATTTACTAATACAGCAAAATTATAAACTCTTGCAAAGTAGATTGTTAAGAAAAAAAAAAAAACCCTATACCAGCAAGACTATAGCAGCAGGAGTGCATTTCCCTCTGTATCACGGCCAGATGAACGTGGCAGCTTTGGAATTCCTCACGCGCAGCAGCAGGGTGAGCATTACCCCTGGGAACCACAGAGTGCAAGGAATCTGACAAGTGCTAACGTGGTTTAGTGGTCACAGATCACCGTTATCAGCTACAAAATTACTTTCTCACATATTATATCAATCAAATGTTTACCTCCAAATATAAATTTTTTATAACAACCTATGGTTGAAGGAATGCTCAGTTTCATTTGCCAATAAATTGGTTTTTCATAACTTGCATCAAGTTTAATTTTAAGTAAGCTTTTTATATGTAGATATTTTGTTGAATTTGTAAATACACTCAAAGTGTAGATGCTATATGCTTCTAGATGTTACAAACAAAACCAGAAATCTTATGTTGTACTGTGTAAGAAGTACTATAGCCCGTGGTGTGCATGGTATTTTAAAGCATCTACTTAAATATATATTTTTTTTCTTTTTGCTGTGAAAATGAAATAGTTGAACTGTTCTACTTATTTACCGCAGATTCCTAATAAAACCGTTCAGAGCTTTTACCAGTGCATTACGTTAGACTGTAGTACATCTTGCAGCTTTCCTGTATATAATGTAGGTAAAGCACAACTGAAGTCATTACACATCTGAGCTGGATGTAAGAAAATTCTTTTTTGCACCTCTGAGCCTTCCATTGATGAGTTTTCTTAATGGGAGCCGAAGTAAGAGATGAGTAATGCAAACACTGATTACAAAGCACAAAGGAAATATTTCTTAATAAGATTTGCCAATGGTTTTGGTAAAAGAGAAGTATAATTTTACTCTTATTTAATTGTAGATGCTGAATTATCTGTGCATGTGGGGGTAAACATACAGGCTCACTTCTGTAATAGTGCAACAGATTTTGTATTAAAAATAAATGTGGTTTTAAAATTTCACTGCTTGTTCTGTTTACAGTACAAACCAAATCTGATTCACCAGATAATTAAGAATTACAAGTGGTAGAGAGACATGAAACAACTCTGTCGGAAAGTGTTCCCATGATATTGCAGGAGTTATGTACTGTAACCAAGTTATTTGCAGAATGTTGCATATCTTTACTTGCTACCATTTGAGAAATGCGAATGTCTCTGACCATTTCCCATTGAAATTAGGTGCTGTCTACATTTTCTTCCATGAATGTTTCAGTCAAAATAGCAGAGGAGGGAGCAAGGAGAGGAGGAGGGCAGACATGTTCCATACCTGCCAGAGGGAGTTAAGTGCAAGTATGAGTATGTTTCTCAGAACAGGATTCCTCGGGAAGGATCCTGAATCAGGAAAATTGCCTAACATACAAAATTCAGAACATTCATTTTAGACAGCATGTTTAACAGTAGATAAAGTGAGGGGAATGTCTTTCACAGCACAGAAAATCCAGCACAACGCTCTTTTCATATATTGTCTATCCTGTGTCTAAGTGGAAACAGATGGAAGAAGAGGGCAGTTACTTAGAAGACTGAGAGTTATGGATTCCAAGAGATAGAAATGCTTCAGGAAATAATACTGAAAAAAAAAAGAAAAAAAAAAAAGGTGTTTGGCTATGATACACGGAAGCAGGATTTTCTCTGAGCTGTGGTGTCAGCTCCCCAAGCTAGCCATGTAATTGAGCCCCCCGGCTATTGCAGCTTCTGTCGTCTGCTTAGTGACAGCTCTGGCGCCTTCAAATCCTGGGCTAGCCAGTTTTCTGGACAGGTATCTGTTGATTTTTCCAGCAATATGCACTGCTTGGGATGTATGAAATATAATTGTTTCTGTTTTGATAATTCCTGGAATGAAGGTTTGAAAAATTTGTTGGAATAAAAGATTTTGTATGGTAAGCATTTTTGGAGAAAAACCTTACTTTTTTGGGGGGGAGGGTGACTTGTTCCCCAAAGTGTATTAATGCATAAATTTTCCTTAATGCATTTATTAATTTATTAAATATTAATGCATTTCCCTTTTGTGATTTATTTTTGTTTTTGGTTTTATGCTCACTGAAGTGATTGTACAAATCCAGAGGGAATTGAAGTGGATGTCCCAACCATAATTCCTTTCTTGTAATCTTCTCACATTGTTCCTTGGAAAATATGGTTTCTCTGCTCAGCAAAGTGGCATGTGATTTGTGAGCTAAATTCTCTTCACTTAGAATCTCACCCATGCTTAAGAAGAGGCCTTTGAAGAAATATGGTTTACTGCTTGAAAGCATTTTTTTTTTCTCTGAAGGAAGAACTAAAGAAGAAAACAAGCAGGAAGAGGATGAAATGTCAAGTATTTCTCAAAAAATAACTGTCCTTTTTTGCGTATTTCTGTCTCCCATCTTTCCCTCTCTTTTACCACCTTAGGAAAGGACATTTCAGAGAGTTGGCAGAAGCAATGACTGGTGTCACAGGAAGACAGAAATAACTGAATGTGCTGCTGGTAGGAATCTACCCCCGTGTGATGCTCCCCGGAATGCACCAGTACCAGTGGATGTGGTTTTTAATCCCTGAGGGGAGTGATGTTTTCCCTTGCTGCTCTTTGTAAACACAAGGTGGAAACTTTAGATCAAACTGTCAAGATAAATACAGGTCAACGGGACTTTGACAGACAGTGGATGTGATGCACCATGATCGTAAGCAAGCAAATGTTGACCCTTGTAATCTCACAGCTTTTGATAACAACAACAACAGAAAAAAGCACAGAGCTGTTTGCTGTACACACATGTAGGTGAGATGCTAAAGTTTTCAAAACATGCATAAATGCATAATAACTAAAAAATAGTGCCTTTGTTTTGGGTTTTAAGAAGTTTGCCCAGCTGTGAACTTGGCCATGTCGTCTCTGCCCTCTGGGGAAAAGCAGCAGGATAAAATTGAAGGCAGCTTGCACATAATGGAGTTGCATATGTTGCAAATTGCAGAAGGAGAGGGAGTAGCAGAGAGTTCCTGTCGGCAGGACCTGGACAGCTCTTCATCCTGTTCTGTCGTGCCCCGAGGTGCTCTGGTAAAACAAAGAAATTTGAGAGATGATAGTGCTGCTTCCTTCTCTGCTGAAACAAGCAGGACATCCATTGAGGATATAAGCTGCTAGTTTAAATCAGGTTTAACTGTGCCTGGCCTCCTGTTACATTTTGGATGCAACAGAAAGGAGGAAAAACACCCAGTCTCCAATCTTTCCAAAGAGGAAATGAAAATGAAACCCTTGGGACAGGTAGAAGGAAAGAATGAAAGGGTGATATTTCATGTTTCCTTGTATATTTGAGAAGAGGCAATTTAGATAGCTGGCTGGAAGGAGAAAAGGAAGATAGTTGCCAAAGGCTACCTTCCTCATTAAAATAGAAAAAAAAAAGGTTTTGTGAGCATTAAAGCTGTCAAAATCTCATTTTATGCTGACTTCTATCAGCCAGCTCGCCCTCCAAGCAGTAACGTCCCTCCTGTCTGTGCGGGAGACTGCAGGAGGCCACGACCGTCTGCCTGCCCATAGACCCAGCTGACGTTTGTTGACAACCAACATATAATAGGTAAATATTTCCTTGACTTTCCTGCCAGGGAATACTGCAAGGTATTTTTTTTATCTATCCAGCTATTGTTTCAAGAGCCGTTAACAAGCTTACTAATCTGTGAGACTTCTATCAAATGTAGCTGAAAATGGCCATAGGTTCATAGGTTTGGGATGAGGTAGATGGACAGACACCCGGCAGTTGCTTTAGTTTCCTGAGTTTTGGAAGCCAAGGCTGTACGACACCTAGGAAGCACAGTGCTTTATGTAAGTATACGGCAAGGCCTCCTAGAGGGACCTCCTCCTCTTAGCTAATCCGAATAGTATTGCTCTAATAAGAGTGCGGGGAATGGGCATTTTCCAAGCTCTTTGGAGAACTGCAGGAGGAGCCATGCAACGTATTTGGTAATCGAGAGAGCCTACAGGATAAAGACTTCAAACTTGGAATACTGGCATAGGTGTTTTTGAAGAGCTTCTTGAGGAAAATTAGGAAAAATGAGGGCAATTAATGGAAAAAAAAAATCTGTCCTAGTCAGAGAACAGATTGAATAGAGAGCAAAGCTGATACAGACTAGAATATTTTGATGTTCCCTAAGGAGAGAAGAAGTGTCCTTTGTTCGGCCCTATGACCGACCCAAGGAACAAACACCACATAAGGAAGCACTAGAAAGAGCGATTATAAATGAATACTATAAGGGAATATTATAGCCTTCATTTTGCAAGTGTCCAGAGACACTTTTATGTAAAATCTTGAACTTTCAGTGAACTAGTCCTCTAGCAAGAACTTTCATTCAGCTGAAAGATTGTTCTTTCTTCCCTGCTATTTTGCAGCAGATATTTGGTCAAAAATCTTGCTTTAATAAGACTCTTCCATTAAAATTATGCAGTGACTCTCTTTTTTTCCAAATGGAAGTCGATGGATATTTTTCCAAAACTGATTAATTTTTTGTTGCAAACAGGCAGCCCAATCTTCAAACGATAGAATTTAGAAGTAACAGTTGGCCACTAGGGGAAGTCACAGTTGTTGGTTAAGGAAGAACGTGTTAAACAGCCCTCCAAAGGAGAGCGCTGGGGTACGTGCCACATGTGATCCGGAAGGCTGGTCACAGACGAGCCACCCGCCCGCTGAAATGGGCTCTGACCCAAAGAAGTGTGCAGGGTTGAGCTCTTGGCTGCACACGCGGGGCTGCGCTGCGCCTGGACGAGGCTCCCGCAGGATGAGGAGGCTCCCGCAGGATGAGGAGGCTCCCGCAGGATGAGGAGGCGCGAGTCGTTTCTGCACTAGTGAGACGCGGCGGAG